AATATATCATAATCAACACATAAATTATATATATATATATATGTATGTGTATATATATATATATATGTGTATATAATTATATATATATTACTGATAAATACCAGGTACTGTAAAATATAATTAAAATATCTAAAAAAAGTCGTCACACAAAGCCTGTTCTGTACGCATATAAAACAAACATCCCCCCGTTGGACGGTCGGAACAACCCAACCTCAAATTTTGATACTTTCTTTCTTGATAAAAAATCTAAAAAAAAAAAAAAATTTATATATATATAAAAAAACAAAAATATATAAAAATATAAGGAATTTAAACCATTTCTTTCGTATAAATTATACTTATCATAAAGTCGCGTCAGGAAAGAAAAAAGTTTTATTTTCTCCCGTTCTTGATGTAAGTTGCAATTTTCAGTTTGTTGAAAGAAAGAAAGAATTGTTGATAAATATTTTATCATTATTGTTTTAACTAAAATAATTTGATATCCTTTACTAAATAATTTAGTATTAAAACATGAGCATCGAAGCAACTTTTCGAGGTTATATTGAAACGACACAAGATACTTTACTTATATTCGAAGCTTGTAGACGTGGTATACTTCCGAGGATATGCCGACGTCTTCAAGAAAAAGAACGTAAAATCGTAACGTCAGGAAGTGTATTTGTTTTTGATGAACGCGAATCCGGAATAAAACGTTGGACTGATGGTTTAGTATGGAGTCCTTCACGAATCCTTGGAAATTTTCTTATTTATCGTGAGCTTGATAAGAGAGCTCCAGCAGGTAAAAAAGATTCGACTCCAGTAGAAAGACAACGAAGTAATAGTGCAGATATGGAATCTCAAGCTGAAAAGAATAAAGAGCGCGCTTTAGTTGGAAGTTTGACAAATTCTTATCGATTTAAAAAAGGTGGATTGATCAAAAAAACAATGTCAATTATGGTTAATGGTGTTAGTCAACATATGATCAGTTATTATACAAAAGAAGATGTCCTGGCCTGTAAACTCAAGACTCCTTCCTCTATACCAAGTTTGGCCATTCTCGAAATTGCTCCTGAATTTTTATTAAAACAAAATTTTAGGATACCGCCCGTGATAGAGTCGACTTATGAACAAGGTGAACAAAACTCACCAAATACAGTTGTTTCAACTGTCACAACTCCCGTAAATATGCACGTAGGTTCATCACTGACGATGAACTTTCAATCCAATGATCATTCCATCTTCATTGCAGAATTGGAAGGGATGACTTATGGAGGAAAACAATCTTCGGTATCTTCTACTTCTCCACATGCTATTCTTCCTAAGCCTGGTGCTGGAGGCACAGTAAGCCCAACAAGATTAACAAATATGGAATTTTCTCCTACTTCTCGTATAAAGGTTGAAATGGAACCTTCGAATCAAGATTTATATCGTTCAGCATATTCAACTGGTTCAAACCCATCCGGTTATTCTTCAGCTATGCATCCTTCTTCTCATTATACATCTTATGCTACACCTGGTCATCCTGTCACAAATGGCCCTGATGGATCTCATACATTACCGATGCCACCTATGAGACCTTTTATGAATCGTCAACATTATGAATTTCCTCCAATTACATCTCATGTTAATACTTCAGTTCCACCAAGATTGTTAACACAACCACCTTTAATACCAAGTATAGGATCTAATCAAAATGAATATAATAATTATTATCATTCACCTCCACATAGTGGGAATTCTCAAACTAATGGTAGTTGGTCTGATTATCAATTTTCTTCGTATTCATCGTCAAATTCAAATCATTCACATGGAAATGGAAGTCAACCTACTACACCAGGGAATTTGGCATCAATTACTCATCAAGCACAATCGAGTAATAATCCTCAAGTAGGATCAGATAATGATGTGTTTTATACTACCGCTACTAATGGTAATGAATCTGCCACCCATCCCATCAACACACTTAGTCAAGTTCCATTATATACAACTGGGTATCATGATTTATCACCATCCCTTCCCGAGTTATATAATTCTGCTCACTCTCCTACTACAGCAAGTTCATCAAATTCTCAATCAAATCAGCATGAACACCTAACTTCTACTCCATCTCCCACACTTCCCGCTATTTCATCGCCTTCCAGTACTGCGAGTAATAATAATGGTTCAAATAATGCACCAGTAACACCTCCACTTAGTTCTCCTAATACTAGTAACAACGCTACAATCGTTAATCCAGGAAATGGTGGTACAAATCTTTTCAATTCAAATTATCCCCCATATTATCAATCGTGGATAAAAAATGAAGGGTATCCAACAGTCTCAGTACCCCCTAACACATTTGTGTACGATCCCTATTTTTAGTAAGGGAATTAATTATAATTAAATTGCTTGAAAAAAAAAAACAAAAATTTTAATAAAATAAACTTTGGGTGGGTTTAGGTAATTTTTTTAAAAAAAAATGAAATGAAATGAAAGATTTTCAATAAAACAATGAACTGATGAAGGTATTTAATAATTTTAAAAGATTTTAATGCTCTCTGGAATTGGACCAAAAAATAATTTAGAAGAAAATAATATCAAAGTTCGTAAAGAATTACCAGTCGGACGTAATTTATTGGAACACCCTTCATGTTGCGTCTCTGCCAAAGTTTCTGTTCCGAATTGTACAAGTGCTTCTCAATTACATTATTCGAGTAATGGTTATGAGCTTGGAATGTTTTATAAAAGTGATATTGATGGAAAAATTCCTAGTCAAGAGCATTTCCTTGATGAACGTCCTAATATTCAATTTTATGGTAAGCTAATATCTGAAATACTAATTTTTTTTTTTTTAAAAAAAAAATATTATTATTATTATAAAATGCTTAATCAATTTATAACTTTGTAGCGAATACAGTTAAACTCGGACTCGCTATTGCTGAACCAGGAAAAAATGAAATTCTTACTTTGTTATCGGTTCTTAATCTTCCATCAAGTGTTGGTCATTTAGAATTACGTAGCTCTAATCCATTTATACATCCAAAAATATTTCTTAACCTTTATGAAAAACCTGATGATTTGTATAATATGATGAGCAGTCTTAAAC